TATATATATATGTATGTATTAAAAATATGTGAGGAAAAATTGGGTATCAACATTTGCAACTGTTTTCTTAGGTTGGTTGTGCTTCATCTTCACAGCACTTAGAGTTTAATATTAAAAATATTTTCTTCAAAATGTCTTCCTACCACTTGTCAGGTACTACAAAAGAAATCTTGAAGACAAGTTAACTAAAAAAAATTTAACTCCGAATTAGCACCAAAAATTAGGTTGAACACTATTGATCACTAAAACCCCAGCAACGACGTCAAAATTTGACGAGCGCAAAACACAACATGAAATTGATACTCACTAGCCAAAGATAGTATAGTAAAATATTGTCTCCACCGGGACTGAATTTAAATAATGTTCAAGTAATTTTTTGGGTTAATTCTATTCAGGATATTTAATACTTTGATTTAGGATGATTAATACTCCAACTAACAAACTAAAATTAAGGCAAGTAAAAATTAATCACAGAGAACTAGAGAGTAGAGCAATGAGTTATTGTCAATACGAAGAATAAAGGCTTTGACGTGATAGGTGCAAGACTGTTATTCTAAATTTGATACCGTTATATTTTACTCTTAATGTTCTATCGATTCTCACGAATTCAATAAGTAATTAGCTTATACTTCTAATTCAGATTCCTCTCTCGATTAAATCTAAATCTTTCAAATAAACTAATGTGAAGTGCTGTAAAACTTGTAAGAATCTATTCGTAAGAATGATCTAAGAGAAACATATCGGGAATATTTCTCAATCTTAATTTAAACAGTAACTTAAAAAGCTCTCTCGATTATTTAAAAGAATTACCAAAATAGACTAAGGCATGCACTGCAATAATATTCAATAAGATGTTCTTCTTTCGCTTAAACACTATAAAGAATAAAATCATAACTAATATTAAAACTCCTCCAATAAATTCAAGCAATTCAACAATATTTAAATTCACAAACAACAATCAAGTCATCAAATCATGTCAAATTCTAAGGTAAACTACTCCATAGATATGGAGAAAATCATCACAAATAGAGCTAAAGAATAAGAAAATATTAATCCAATGTTACAATCCAAACTCACATATTGAATTGGTAGAAGGAAGATGAAATCTCGTGTTTTGAAGCCTCCGATGCTCTCCAAAAGCTCCCAAGGTCAAAAGTTGCTTCAAAAATGTGTTTTCAGTGTATTTTTACCATGTAGAAACAGGCTTGGATGAAACTACCCTCTTTGAGCCGAAGTAAAAAAAGTTGGGCGAGAAAATACACCATTGCGGAGCACCGGGTGGCACGCCATGCTCCTTATTAGTGGGAAAGTTCATAGTTTATTTTTTCCAGAGTAATTATTTTTTCTCAATTTTTAACATCCAAACTTGATCTTCGAACCCCGAATACTATCTCAGCTTAATTCTTTGGACTTCTACTTAGACTTCAAAGCTCCAATTCATCAATTTTAGCTCTAAACTTGCTTCTTCACTCGAAATCACATCCTACACAACATAACATATGCAATAAATACAAAGTACTAACAATTAGGCTCAAATACAATTAAAGTGTAGTAATTAGAGTGCGAAATATAGTTAAAACGTGAGTTCCAAGCCTACCATCATATTGATGAGAATTTTTTTAAAACATTCAAATCATGTATTTGAGTTACAAAATAAATATTAAATAAAAATTTAAGTTCTTGAAAATGATAAATATTTGATTTGAAAATATACACGCATTATATTCACTTATTTATGATCTTATCTAATAATATTTATTTAATTACACATTAAAGACAATGGTATACAATTTTATTATGAGTAATATGTAATTTATAATATTTTATGGATATTATTTTTATTTTAATCACTATGTATAATATGATTCGTCATGATTAGATATACAGGAACCAATAAAGATTGACAATTAAGTTATTATGTCGGTATTAGTTATAATTGTAATTTTCTGGATGTCCTAGAAATAAAATTTTGGTATTGGAATTCAAGAAAAAGGTTTAGATAAAGTAAGCTTTTACTTAATTTTAAAGTCCTAAAAATTAGGATTTTTTATATATATTAATAATTTAATAAGAAAAATTTAAGTTAATTTTAAAATTTTAAATATTAGGAAAGTAACTTAAAGTTACAATATTAGAGATACTTAAATTTAAAATTTGCTTTCCAAAGGGCAGACCTGCATTAAGGAGATGGGAAGACTATGTGTTCCATGTGGCGTGTGCCACATCAGACAGATATTCAACAATTGGTGAGGACGTGGCATGATCCTAGCTGGCAAGGGGGCTGTTAAGGTGACGGCTAAAACGGCGGGAGAAGGGAAAGAGGATGTCCAGTTGCCAATAAGTTTTTGGTGGGACCACGTGGCAAGAGAAGAACTAAAACCCTCCCCAATATATTGAACCTGTGGGGTTTTCTCTCTCTCTCCACATCCCAACTTGCCTCCAAAGATTCCAACCCACAACATAAATCAAAATAAAGTACTTCCCCTTTCAATTTATGTGAACCTATTTCTTTTTTAGTCTTTACTAAAAAGAATGACTTTTTTCTCTATTTGAAAACAATTTATCTTTATGCAATGATTTATAGCCAGACAAAATATATGTGCTTCATTTTACACCACAAGTTCAAAAGTCTTCTCTCTTTTCTTAAACTTCATATCCAATCAAATGAGTTCACATAAATTGAAACAAAGGGAGTAGTATTTACTATTTGTGAGTATAGTATTATTTGTGTTTATATTAAATCAAATACTTCTTCTTTTCTGTTTTATGCAAAACTATTTTTGTCAAACACCGAAAAAAATAAAAAAGAACTTAAAAACTTATTTGACCATCTTAAAAGTCAATCAAAACACCATTTTCGAAATTTTTATAAATTAAGCATGTTTGATAAATAATTTTATCAGTAACTCTCAAAATTATATTACGTTATGTAGTCCTTTTCTATATGGGACCCACAACTGGGGGAGGGGGCTGTGGGTCTTTACATTACCTTGTCCGTTAGTGTCTGGTTACAACTATAAAATAAACCAAACCGTCCCAAATCTCTTCACACACATACCCCCTCTTCATCTCTTAATAACTCCTATTCCTATTCCAATCCCAATTTGTCTTCCTAGTTTTTTTTTCTAGCATTGCAAGTAAAGAAACTCTTCTTAGGCTTCCTCTTAACTCTCATTCACATTCCCCATTTTTCTTTTGCTACAAAACAGAGTGAAAGCAGAGTACACTATTCTCTGTTCTTCAAGATTGTATTTCAATATAGTATTAACTGATTACTTGAACATAATTTAGGTAATATATTGAATCTTTTTCCAGTTTTCTCAAATGGTTTTGCGTTTATTTTCGACTTTGTAAAGAAGACGTTTTTGTTTTCTTCACTTATATTGTGTGTTTGTTTTTGTAGGAGTGACAATGACTCAGCAGAATGTGGTAGTGTCCGATCCTAAATCCGGTATTAATTTGACAATACCGGTGAAGGTATCAAACTCCCCCGCACTGTTCACGAAGCCGCCACCGGCGCCAGGGAGTTGCATCACCATTTCAAGAAAGACACTTGTTGAAATAAATAGTGGTCCAAGAATCAATTCTTGGGTTGACTCAATGAGAGCTTCCTCTCCTACTCGTCACAAGTCCACTAGTCCTCTTTCTGATGACATCAATTCTTGGATGGTAAGCTCAAATACAAATAACTTTCATGCAGTTTATACAATAATATTTGCTTTATGTTTTAGCTGATAATTGAAGAATGAAACGTACAGGTGCAACATCCATCAGCACTGGATATGTTTGAGCAGATAATAAGTGCTTCAAAGGGAAAGCAAATAGTAATGTTTTTAGACTATGACGGCACCCTTTCCCCCATTGTTGAGGATCCTGATCAAGCTTTCATGTCTGATGCTGTAAGTCTTTTCATCTATATTATTAACTAGTAATAATTTACTACTCAAGATTATTCCACTCACTTCTTTCTATATATATCAGATGAGAGCAACAGTGAGAAAACTTGCTAGATATTTCCCTACTGCAATAGTGAGTGGAAGGTGCAGAGACAAGGTATCCCGATTCTTCTTACTTTTTTCTATGTTTTTATTTTTCATTTTATGAATTGGTTTTTATGTACTTTTTTGGTGATTGTATAATTATATATAGGTATACAACTTTGTACGATTGGCAGAGTTGTACTATGCTGGAAGCCATGGAATGGATATAAAAGGACCATCAAAAGGTTCCAAATACAAGAAAGTGAGTTTAACTTATTGTAGCATCTTCAGTTCTTACTGAGTATGACTTGGTCTTTCTTGCTCTCCCTTAATATTTACAGACTTTCATATATTATATTTCCAGGGAGCAGAAGCTGTTCTTTGCCAACCAGCAAGTGAATTTCTACCAATGATTGATGAGGTTTACAAAGCACTCATTGATGCAACAAAATCTACAGAAGGAGTTACAGTGGAGAATAACAAGTTTTGTGCCTCTGTACATTTCCGCCGTGTTGATGAAAAGGTAATAAACCCAACCTGTCCAAATATTCTGTTATCAATATATGGCCCATCAAACAAAGCATGGGTTAAAAGCTTAAAATAATATAATGAATTTTTTAACTGTTGTTTAAAAAAGCAGAAGAAAAGATGTGATTTGGGGTTGTTGTTGATGTAACAGAAATGGGGTGAACTAGCACAAGTCGTAAGGTCAGTGCTTAAGGAATATCCAAAGCTGAGATTAACACAAGGAAGAAAAGTATTTGAGATCCGTCCTACTATTAAATGGGACAAAGGCAAAGCTCTTGAATTCTTGCTTGAATCTCTTGGTAAGCACTGTCTGTGTATCTATATTTATTAGCAAATAAATTATTGAAATATAAAAAAATAAACAATTGTTTTGATGCTAACTTTGATAATGAAACCTCTCTTCAACAGGATATGCTAACTGTACTGATGTATTTCCTGTATATATTGGTGATGACCGAACCGATGAAGATGCTTTTAAGGTATCCTATGTTCCTATATTTAATGTTAAGTATTACTCCGTTCACAATTCAGTGTTCAATTTGCATTTTTATTTTGGTTCAAAATAAGTGTTCAGTTATGTAATCAAGAAAGAATTCAATTTGTTTTTACCAAATAACCCCTATGTAAATATCCTTAAAAAATTTTCTTACTCCTCACGTTAAATGTTTAATTAGGGGTAGTTTAGTCATGCTAGATATTTTTGTATAGGATTTAGTATTTTCTTAATGTGCGGGCCGGAGAGACTAGTATTTGTTTTGTGTTTCTTTTTTGTTGGCTTTTGAGTTTACCAGATCTTCTTTGGTCTTCAACTTTTTATTGAGTTTTCTTTGGTTACTAATCCTACATTAAATGTGGTCTAGGTTCTAAGAGAAAGAGGACAGGGTTTTGGCATTCTCGTCTCCAAAATTCCAAAAGACACACATGCATCTTATTCTTTACAAGAACCATCTGAGGTGAGAATTACTATAACTCTGTTAATTTGTTTTTCCTTGAACTGTGGTTTAGGTGTTGCGAATTGGTTGAATCTAAATAGAATCATATAACGGTTTCTCTAATATAAATAAGAGAGGCAATTATAAATTATGCAATATCAGTTGATGGTCAAATCTTTTTAAAAGCTATATCTAATATGAAAATATTGATTCCTGAGAAATGGTACATGTGTTAGGTAAAAAAAAATATTCTGTCTTATTATTGACCTTTTCTTACTTTTACTTACATAATAATTATTTTTTCTAATTGATTTTCACAGGTTATGGTGTTTCTACGACGCTTGGTAGAGTGGAAAAAGTTGTCATTAAGAAGACAGTTTAGAATTCGAAGACAAATTGAAGAGATAAAAGCATCTCTACGGAACTAATGAAGAATTATTGTCCAAAAGTAATGGACTTAATGATGCATATAATGTATTTTCCTTTTATAAATATAACAAAAGAAGTTGTAAAAGAAAAGGTGGAAAAGATAGGCTTTTTGATCCTTTTCTATTTGGCTTTAAGGCCTTGTACATCTTTGTAACTAGCTCTGTACAAGGGTAAATTGTAATTTTCCAGTCTTAGCTAAATGCATATATTGGAAGTTCTCTCTCTAAATACATATATATTCCCTATATTTCAATTTAGATGACACATTTCGCTTATGGATAATTTATTTCGCTAAATTTTGAAGCTGAATTGAATTAGTTCAACTCATTATTTAAAAGTAAAATTTTTATATTCAAAAACTATAAGTTGTAGTTTTTCTTGTTAATATGATTAAAAAAAATATATTTTTTGAATGTTGATCAAAACTCATATATTTGATTCTCGATAAGTAAATTGTGTTGTCTAAATTGAAGGTGAGGATATATATATTTTTTATATGCAATCTATATATTACAACTCATAAAATAAATGTTAACATGGTTTGTTTTTTTGATTTTAATGTTATGGCGTCAAACAAGCGACTTCACATGCCTCTTTTAAGGATGGAATTTACTTCAAAAGTTGTCAGCATCGTTGAGTAGAGCTGGTAGAGAAGTTGCATATATCTTTCCCTGTTTGTTTTACTGACTGATAGCCGAACACCATCATTAAGTTAAAGAATTAATGAAAATGCAATCACTTAACCAACTGTTGCTAAGCACCACACTAGAATTTATCTTCTTTTACCATCCAAAAATACCAATATAAAGGAAGGGGTGGAATAAATGATAGAATGGAGTCAGATATGGACAAAGTAGTTCTAGTCATGTCTTTCTATATCTCCACATAAAAAATAATAAAAGGTGAAAAACCGACCCCTTTAATTATTTTTTGGTAACTTCGGCCTCTTTTCCTTAGTAAAATGATTCATCGCAACTTTAGCAAGCCAAACATAATCAAAAGGAAGAAGTACTAAGCAAATTTATACAGTTAAATTTCTCTATAAAAATCTCGTTTATTTTAATTTTTTAGATGCTATAATAAAGTGCTATTATAAAGAACATATATTATAATATAACATAAAAAAATTAAATCCGAAAAAAACTTGACTTTTGTAATGAATAACTATTATATAAAGATATTATTATAGAGAGGCCGGTCACACTGTATTTAACTTAAACAAATAGTAAACTTTCTCCGCTGCTGTGGACTGTGGTCCTGGAGGAGCTAAGGTTTGTAATCACTCACTTAACGAAGACCTATCTTAATAATTTATATTTTACACATTCAAGAGACTTTGTGTTTAAAATTATGCAATTTTATGTTCTGTTTAACTAAGGCAATTCCTCATGTGCATCAGTCTATCATTGCGTTACCTAGGCTAAATAAAGTTGTTAAAATGTCTATTATCTCATATATGTTTCAATTAATACAGTAAGAGTGTTACTATCATTTATTGAGAGCCATAGCTTCAATTAATTCACAACATTAAAGACATATCATTATCAATGCCTTTACCAGCTGCAAATTAAGCATAGTCTGTATTAATTGACTTGCAACACTTATCACACATTAGCTTCACATAAACCGACCATTCAAGCTTTTTCCCTACAATTAGGCTGGCCAAAGGGGGACTTTATTTTTTCTCTTTCTCTTTTTGGCGGGTCAAGCACGTTAAATATGTCTTTCATTAATGCTAACTTCCTTTTTGACTTTGTTAGTTATCTATTCACTTCCATTTGTGATTTGACCGACTTAATTAGCATTCTAAATTAGGGAAATGAAAATAATAGTAATAATAGTCTTGTATAATGTATATGGTCCTCATTCTAGTCTAGTACACTAAGGGGGACTTACTTGTTTGACTTCAATACAGAGCCGTATCATGGAGTGTATTAGTTAATGGATTCAACCGAACCCGTGGAGTATAAAATATATGTGAAAATTATTTTAAAAATTTAAATTTTAAATTATGAACTCATAATTTTAAAATTATAATATGTTCAGGAGTAATAATCTAAATGTTAAACCCACTAAAAAATTCTGAATCCGTTTCTGCTTCAAACATATACACTATTTCTTTTCCCTGCACGAGCAAAGCACGCAAGTATAGATATCAAAGACGAATTTCCTCTTTCAAGTTACATACTTTACATTTTTCACGTAACAATTCCAGCGAATCGAAAGTCCAAATATAGGGAAGAGAAAATAGTTTCCTGATGGTCCTAATTCTTGTACAATTGGACAGCAATAAAATTGACATTTTAATACAGATGTTCAAGTTACAAGTTATGGATGTTGGACAAAATATCGTAGCCATAATATATGATTGGTTATATAAAGAGACTCAGGTGAAAGGATGGACCCATACATAAACACTTGGAAAAATTGATTTATCCATGTACCTGTCCATCTTTATTCTTTCTTATATAACTGTGTCCCATGCTGAGTCAAAAGGATAGGCAGTGAACATAGATATTCAATTTTTGAAATGATGGGTCCTTCCATTAAAGGTTTTTTTGTTTTTTAGTTACATCCTTTCATTATCATGGATTAAAATGGATATCATATCAAGTTATGAACCTTTCCAGCTCTATTAGATCTGTGATTGAAGTTAGACTTCTAAAAATCCAAATTCAAGATACTCTAGAGTCTAGAGAAACTAGGTAAGAATCACTTTGTTATTATTTTTTTTCAAGGGAAAACTTTCTTAGAAACGTATCCCTTGACTAGAGGTTAGAGCGCACAACTACATGGCAATTGTCGACAAAAAATTTCTCGTTTGTGCTAATTGAAATTAAGTATTAATCACAATGGTACAGTTGATTAATATTTATGATGAAATAGGCAGTTAAAAAGTTTTTATTGGTAGTGTCTTAATTGAACAATTATATGCAACAACTTCTATATATTGTATAAATCATTTACTGGGAACTTACCTGCCCATTGTTTACACCAAGCTATTAAATACGAGACAAGTGTTTTTTCCGTGCACGTATTATAACTTAATCAGTTCCGTCAAACCTAATAGCTTTTGTTCAAACCATGTAGTATTTGTTTCAAAAAAACTGTTAAATGTGTATAACTTATTAATTTAGAACCCGATAACTTAAAAGAATTACAATTCCGAACCCATAAAGTTCAAATCTTGACTCCACCTCTGAACTTAATCATAATTAAGTGATATGCTCTCATAACATTTAATAACTAACGTTATATCGTTTGATTTAACATAAATACCGAATGCAAATATAAGTATAAAGTCTTAAAGTAGTACTCATCGTCTGAGTTAAAGAAGGTAACAGGTGAATAGATCAGTCAAAGATTCGATAAATACATTTATTTAGTTGAACGAAAAAATAAGTGAATGAAGGCGTTAAGATTAGATAACTACAAAAAGTACTTCTTTTAGACTAACAATACCTACCAAGAAGTTTATTAATCGCAACAATATAATGAATTTAGTAAAACATCTAGCTTAACCATTGGCCATCAAGATTTGAAAAATCTCCTTGTTTTAGTTCCTCTACTGACCAAATGGAGGAATAGGAACCTTGAGATTAGTAGCAAAAGCATGACACAACGAGAGTTCAGGCAGGCCGGTGTATTAAGCTCTCGCTATGCACGAGATTTTGGTAAGGGCCGGATCATAAGGGTCTATTGTATGCAACCTTACCCTACATTTTTGCAAGACGCTATTTCCACGGCTCGAACCCGTAATTTTCTGATTACATAACAACAAGTTTACCAGTTACGCCAAGGCTCCCTTCCACTATGTGAGTTCATAAATAGTATAATTTCAATTTTTCTATTTGATCAGCAAAATCATAATTCTAGCTGCCTCCTTTGTTGCATACCGTAGATCTACAAAACCCCTTTTCCAAAGACAACAATTTGAAAGGAGAGTTCTAATGTAGCACAGAGCTGAGGCCCTTTCTTTTCTACAGGTAAAAGCTAAAAGCAAAGCAAACACGGATTGACCCGACACTAGCTAGCTAGCTAGCACAACATGACACAGATTTTATCAATAAATAATTCTTCCTAGTGTGGGAAATTATGTGTAGCCATGTGGCATATTAGAAAGATATTTTACAAATCCAAAAAAAACTGTAACCATGTTCTTGAAACAAGAGACATGTTCTAACTAGTCTAGCAGCCATTGGAGGTTAATTCAAGTGGATAATTCTTGGAAAGTACTCCAAAGAAAACAAGAGCCAAATCCAAAAACGAAAGAATATTGGTACTAGACTATAAGTATGGAAGCATAGCCATTGCATGCAGACACAAGAAGAATGTAACACATTGGATATCAAGATATAAAGATATTAATAGCCAAGTTGAAACCATAAAGTAGTTTCTATGTTTTATTCTTTTAGGAAAGAGTAACAAGCTAAGTCATGAAGATTTCCCTTCTTTTTTGCTTGGTTAGGTTAGTGAAAGGGAAACCCACCATACAAGGGATTGTAGGGAATCTAAAAATGGTTGAATGGGGAGTTGGAAGCCACTTAAAAGGGAGTAGTCTTTTTTTTTTT